GAACCAAGTAACCTATTATAATGATATTGGACTTATATGAATTGGGTGACATCGAGGAATGTATATTTGCAAAAAAAACAATATTTTATTGTTTATAATTTTGTACAGTATGATAAGTTTCTAATTGTTATTACTAACTGACAAGATATTTACCAAAATAGCTTTCACCAAACAATTTATTCACTAAGAAAAGAATCACTTTTCCGATTTTCTCACTCGTTAGATCTATGTGCACTGCTCGAAGCTTCAAACCAAAATGAGCTCAGCTTTGAAAATCTTTTCCTCCAGATGTAGACTTGTTTATTTGTAATTATATATCTCACTATACAGTGCGTGCTATGTTCGAAAACCGACCTTTCTTCTACAAACTCCCCTTACCGCTCTTTTCAAGTGGCATCGCGAAGTGCTCGGACCGTCGTGAGCACGCATCTCACGTTCTCGTCCGACACAAAACCCGCTGACATTTCTTGTATATATCTTAGTAATTTTACGATATTTTGATTTAATTTCTTGTGCCATTTCAAGATAAAACTTCAGGGAAACATGCATGTCTCAAAAAGTTGCGTTGAAATAATTCAATTCCCCGTAATCACTAATAAACTGCAATGTCCCCTGAGAGGGGACATCCGAGTGATATGCTAGAATTCCGATGTCCCCTGAGAGGAGACAGCGGAGTGCAAAGGGCTAGAATATATTACAAGTAATCCTTGTAATATATTTGCAGATTTGTAATATTTCCTACAACTTTTATGATATCATACTATATTATTACAGTTTTGGTAATATTATTATACTTAAAATCCTTTTATTCTTAAAATATTAATATTTATTGCATGTAATATTATTTTATGTAAGGTCATTTTTCTTGGAGTTTATTGCATGTAACATTATCATATTTAAAATAGTTTTTCTAGAGATATGTTTATCGCATATATTATATTTAAGATAATTTTTCCTGAAATAATAAGGTTTATTGCATGTAACATTATTATATTTGAAAGTCTTCTTGGAAAAAAAAAAACCTAAAAAAATAATAATAAAAGGTGTTTGAGGAGATGTGGAGAAATTGGAATCCTATGCACACTGCTAGCAGGATGTAAAATGGTACATTGCTATGGAAAGCCATCTGGCATTTTCTCACAAGGTTAAGTGTTGAGTTCCTGTACGACTCAGAAATGCTCTTCCTAGGTATAAACCCAAGATAAGTGAAAACATATGCTCACTTGTGCATGAATGTTTTCATACACAAATGTTCTTAGTAGCATTATTCATAATAGCTAAAAAGTAGAACTCAATGTCCATCAACTGATGAATGACTTATTAAAATGTAGTATATCCATACAATGGATTATCATCTGACAATAAAAATAAGTACTGATATGTGCTACAAGATGGATAAACCTTGAAACATTATACAAATGACAGAAGCCAGTAAAAAAGACAACATATTGAATGATTCTATTGATATGAAAGGTTCATAGTAAGCAAATCTATAGTAACAGAAAATGGATTAGAGGTTGATTAATCCTAGAGGCCCGGTGCATGAAAATTCGTGCACTCAGGGGAGGGGTTCCCTGAGCCGGGCCTGCGCCCTCTTGCAATCCAGGAGTCCTCAGGGGATATCTGACTGACAGCTTAGGGAAGAAATATCTGGGTACAAGGGGTGATAACTAAAGAGTATGGAATTTCTTTTGGGGGTGATGAAAAGTCTTAAAATTGATTGTGGTAATGATTGCAATTTTATGACTATACTAAAAACCAGTGAATTTTAAGCTTTAAATAGGTAATTTGTATGGTATGTGAATTATATCTCAGTAAAATATATATAACCTGTGGTCTCCCTGTATTGAGCTATCAGGGGAGCATGAGTAAAGGAAAAGAGGAAACAGAATCAATTGGCTAAGATGTGATCATGTTGAAGCTGGTACCTGGAAGTTTATTATTCTAGTCTCTCTACTTTTGTATATGTTTAAGTTTTATATATTTAAAATAAATTTAAATAAATAAAGCAATAAGACAAAATAATAAATTGCATAAAACTATATGCACACAACATGCATATACACACAAATCAACATAGGTTTTAAAAAATGGTAAAATTGAGTAAGGTCTGTAGTCTATAGTTAGCAGTAATGTGCCAATGCTGACTTGGTGGTTTGTATTACAGACCCAAAAGATGGAAGGATACATAAGGTACTATTTTTCTAACTTCCTGTGAATTTACAATTATCTCTATAATAAAGAGCTAGGGTGTAACGACCGATCATGACCAAAGGCTGACCATCTGGAAGTCAGTGCTGAGTTGATCCAGTGCTGACTAATGCAGCTGTAGGCACAGTGACCCAGCAGTGACTGCTGAGGGGGCTCTGAATCAGGCCCAGAAAGAGACCTGAAGAGAGAAGCAGGGGCTGATCTGTAGCGTCTGAGGCAGCTTTTGACCAGCACTTGCCTCTCTCTTTCCCTCTGAACCTGGCTAGCAGCCTTGCCTCCATTTCTCTTCAAGCCTCCATCGGGGCTTCTGATCAGCCCTGCCATTCTGATCAGGCCCTGTTGATAGGCTCAGAGACGCTGACTGGCATAGAAACTAATCAATTAGATCAGAAACTGGCCAATCAGAACCAAATCTGGGTCAACTGTGAGGAGCCAATGGCTGCCTAGGAGGCAGAGCTTTTGATGCTGACTGGCATAGAAACTAATCAATTAGAACCAAATTGGCCAGAAAAGAAGGGCAGTTAGGGGTGAGATCAGGCTGGCAGGGGAGAGCAGTTGGGGGTGAGATCAGGCCGGTAAGGTAGGGCAGTTAGGGGAGATAAGGCAGGCAGGCAGGTAAGTGGTTAGGAGCCAGCTGTCCCAGATTGTGAGAGGGATGTCTGACTGCCAGTTTGGGCCAGATCAGGATCGGGCCTACACTGGCAGTCGGACACCTCCAAAGGGGTCCCCAATTGGAGAGGGTGTAGGCTGGACTGAGGGAACCACTCCCTCTGTGCACAAATTTTGTGCAGCGGGCCGCTAGTCCTATATAATAAAAGCCCAATATGCAAATCAATCGAACAGCAGAATGACCGTTCAACAGGGGCTGGAGGGAAGGTGGTGCCAGGCCAGCCAAAGTGAGTGCCAATGGGTAGAGGGAGGGGACTGTGATTGGTGGGTGGTGGTGACTGGTGATGGAAGGATGATTTGGGGGGAAGGGGAACGGAGCTGGCTGCTTTGCAACCAGCGTTGTCCCCCAATCAGCTCTCTGGTTGCCTCCCACAGGCCTAAGCTATCAGTCGGATATCCCCTGAAGGCTCCTGGACTGCAAGAGGGCGCAGGCCGGGCTCAGGGACCCCCTTCCCGAGTGCACAAATTTTCATGCACCGAGCCTCTAGTTTTAAAAATAAAAGGTAAAACAAACAAAAAACCTTGTCCTGTGGCTTATGTGCAAGGCTTTGAATTGCAATATCTCATAAGCAAGAATACATAATGAAAGAATTTTCAGAAACATATCTACCTCCATTACCCCAAAATAATAATTTCCTCACATTATAGGGAATGCCTTCTCTGGCATAAATAAATTAGAAAAAGTAAAAGAGAGGAAGTTCTTTTTATCTGTTCCTCTGAATACAATACTCTATATACTTTTACTAAAAAAAAAAAAAACAAACCACACATACACAAATACACACACACACACAAAACAAACAAACAAACAAACAAACAAAAAAACAACAACACCAGAATGTCTTGGGTATGTGAACTACAAAATTAAAGTACTACCCTGGCCAGTATGTGCTCAGTGCTTAGAATGTCATCTATGGAACCAAAGGGTCACTGGTTCCATACCCAGTTAAGGGCATGTATCTGAATTGCAGGTTTGATCCCCAGACTCAAATGAGGCATATGCAGGAGGCAATCAATTCATGTGTATTTCTCACTCACATCAATATTTTTTTCTCTTCCTTCTACTCTAAAAATCAATGGGAAACTAGTCTTAGATGAGGGTTAACAACAACAACAAAATAAGTAAAATAAAAATTAAAAAAAAAAAACGTACTGGTCATACCAAAAGTCTAGCTAGCCATTCATCTATGACAGTTATGTTTATTTCCAGTCCAGATGTTTTAATGACATTATAAATATGGATTAAAATACAACGTATTTAGCAAAGTCTGCTAATTAGTGTAAATGAGTTCACTATTATATGATGATACATGGATGAAAATTATAATATGAAGGGGTAAAAAGTAGAAATTCAAACTGCAATATCCCAGCTGATATTGGGATGTGAAATTTAAACTTTTTAGAAAACAGAATTGGTTATGAAATAGAAGTTGTTGGGGAAAATTTTTTTTAAGGAAACACCAATACATGTAATCGAATTAGGTCACGTGGTTATGATCCCTTTTACCTGACTGACGAGCAAGAAAAATGATGGTAGCAATATATAGCCATCTCAAATGTATAGGGACTGATGGTGACAGTGGACATTCACTACCTTAATTATGTGCTGTAACAGTTCAATCTCTAAATATTTAATATAAAATAAATACTGGAAACTAAAACATTTATATATTTTACTGAAATGCTTTGTATTTTTCCCATTTTGATGGAACAGTTTGGAATAAAAGAACACAACTGATTGTGAAAGGATATATAACAAACTATATTTAAAGGTTATGCCTGGAAATTGAGATTAAGGAAGCAGAGCTTTTTATCCTGAATTTTTTATATTTCCGTATTTGATTAATTTGGTTAAATTGATTGCATGTTACTTTTGCCATTAGGAAAGAAAGGTTAAAAAGATTACAACTAATTCAATAGCTGAACAAATGTCCTGTAGTTTTCTGTTATCCTGATAGGGGCTGACCTATTGAAGGTTGAAGAGAATCTTGCCAAGAGGAGTGCAGGCTGCAGAGAATCTTGAGATCAGGAGAGTCTTGTTGCTTTGCTTTGGGTTGCAATATATACCCCAAATGCACAAGGATTTTGCCCGACTCAAGCCAGGTAAGTCTGCTCACCTTTCAAGGTGCTCCAGTGGACTTCTGTATTTGTTCCTTTAAGATCAGAATACTCTGCCTCTGTTCAGGAGGCAGCATGGCAATCTGGTCTGCAGTCAGTTGAAGAACTTGCATGATCAAAGCAGCCTGTGAAGAGAAAAAGAAAGGTAGTGAGTTTTAATGATGGCAGTTAAAAAAAACCCACAAACCACCACCCACTTTGGTAAAAAAGAAAGGATATTTCAAACATAGAAATATCCACAAATCAACCCAAAACAAATAAACAAAAAATAACAGCAGCAGCTGGTGAGAAAAAGCATAATGAAAAGCACAAGCACAACAATATCTAAGATTAGAAGACTCAAAACAGACATCTTTGGAACCCAAAGTTCTTGCAGACTGAAGTGGTATCTGGGAGGCCTGGAAGTTTTCAATTTTTCATCATTTTAAACATCTCTCCTTTTCTCAAGTTTAGCCCTTCCAGCAGACATGAGCTCCCCACAATGATCAAATATAGAAACAGAAAGACACTTGTAGGGAATCTGGTAATGTTTTTTAGGGAGAAGGTAGAAAGGGGGAGAAAAAAGAGATCTGGATTTTCAGGTTCATCCAGTCTGCACAAAAAAACTGCTATTGGCAGATGAGTCTGATACATAAGATAAGCTTTCATTTATATACATCCATTTAAGGATTTTAGGACTGGCCCACAAATTTTCAGTTAACAAGATCACAAAGAGTTCCAAGAATAAACACCACTTCCAAAGGGACTCTGCAAATTCAGGACTTGCACCTGGTAACTAAAAAATAAAAAAGGAGCCAAAAGAATTTGTGCACACGGAGGGAGTCAGACAGCCTTGTTTACCTTCTCGTGGTCCTGTGGAGTGACTTGGTTCTGGCCAGGACTAAAGCCACCAGGCTGGCCTCCACCCTGCATATTGCCTCCTTGCATGCCTGCCCCCTGCATGACTGGGACCTACGTGCACAAAGAGAGACGAGGAAATAGATTTTTGGAATGTCTCATATAGGAAGGCAGAATATAGTAACAGCAATGTTTAAAAATATGATCTGAGTATGGATATGAGTAAAAAAGCAAATGATTGATTCTGAAAATCATTTCCTACTGCTAGCAATGGCAGAGGCATGGTTTAGGCAGAGATCAATTAGCATGTTAGACACATTTGCTTACAACAGCTCCACCAACAACAAATATGCCATAGCATAACTGGATGCTATCAGTTCAAGCAAAATTCAGCCACATAAGCACAGAGAAAACAGCATCCTGGAAAGTAGTGCTCAGTGGAAAAAGAAATGAAAGCTGATAGGCTTTAGAGATAATGGATGCTGGTCCACTGGGGAAGCTCCATTCACAGGGATACCATACATATCATACATAGGCTGTTGACCCCAAAGGGCCCTATCCCACAAGTAAGGCAGAGACGATCCCAATGGCAGAGGCCTCTGGGAAGAAGACTGATATCAGCCCAACATTTGTGGGGGTTTTTGGTAACTTTCCAGAGAGAATTTGCAGCAGATGCTAAATGCATACCAAGAAATATGACTGACCCAAATTAAAAGAACAAAGTGCAATTATAGCATATTTATTGATATTTAAGGTCTTTGGTGAGTTCAATCTTAGAAGACTATCCGAACCCAGGAATAGGCGTCAGAGCACCTAGAATAACTGTTAAATAATCCCAATGCTGAAGTTATGTTCACATTCAGGCATTCACCCAGAGCTTAGGTACTCTTATTAAACATAAATTGTTAATAAACTTGTTACCTGCTTCCCCAGCAGATTAGAAGCAGCCAAGCATAAAAGAAATGAGGATGGACCGTTAGGAGCAGATACCATGACAGCAATATGAGGAGCCAGGTGACAGCCTGACGGTGAAGGAAACTAGAAACCAAACAGGAAATAGCTCTACTTTCTATTGCAGCATGTACAATAATGAATACATTTAATGGTGACCTTGAGTAGTCAAAATGATAAAAATAAGTTTTTGTATTTTGTTTAAGAAAGGAAGGAAGCATAATATAAAGTTACTTTTCATTTGACTAGCTAAAAAATTGGTAGAATAGTACTATTATCTACAACATTCATTTACATACATTAACTAGCTAGACACTAGAGAGATGAAGCATTAGTATAACTATACAGCTTGCTAAAATATTACCAGTTCCTGGTCTTTATACTGAATCTGCAGATGGGTCTGAACTTTCATCATCTGTTATAGATCTGAAACATCTCTAAGAAAAACCTTTTTGAAGCTTCAGTCAATACTAATTTGAAGTACTGTAATGTGATTTAATCATTCACTAATTGCCATTTAAGGTTTCCAGGAGCGCCTATTCCAGGCAGACAAATAATAATATGGGTGATTACACATCTAGGTTTGCCTAAGACAGTCCCTGTTTATGCTTTTGTCAGAGTAAATACTAATAACACTCTCACTCTTAAATGTGTCCCTGTTTGATGAAAAGTTATATAATCCCTCTAGCAATAATAACCCTTTTACCAATGACTTTCCAACTTACGTGTAATGGAGGTAATTTTAAAATCTGATTTAAAATGCTCAAAGATATACTGTTAAGTAAAAAACAAGGCACAGAACAGCGAAAGGAAAAACATATATATGTATATTCATATTTGAAAAAAACAAGAATATATATTATTTGCTAGAAAGATACATAAAAAATCTAATAAAAGCAATTATCTATAGAACATGGGGGGGGTCACAATACAGGGGAAGAAGTGAGCTCTTATTTTATATCTATTATATATATGAGTGAAAGTATTTTATATATTTAATTATATGTGTACACATTGACTCAAACCATCTTTTAAAAAGTGAGAATATATTTTTTATTTTCTCTACCTCAGATCTAATTAGCTTTATAGAATCTACTAAAGGAAACTATATAAGCTTGATATTACAAAATAATGATTTCAACCACTAGTAGAGATAAAGGAGCAAGACATCATCTAGAAATAGTCTTCCAAACCACTATTTTCAGTGTCTTTCTCCACAGAATTATCAACAGAATGATCTAAAAACATCATGTAGATATTTGCTGTCTGTATCCCCAACTAGAATATAAGCCCATAAGGGATTTTTTTTTTCTCACTGCTATATCCTTATTATCTATAGTTCTCTTAGGTATATAGTAGGTGCTCAATAAATATTTACTGAATGACTGAATAAACACATAAAACCATTTTTATTATGGGGCTACTGACCACAGAGGGCACAATAAACATCGAGGTCCATGAACACATTTTTAAAAAATACAACTTGAGAAACAACAGATTACAGTTTTCTTCTACACATATCAGAAACAACGTATTTCATTTTTCATTTTAAAGAGGGGGGTAGATACACATATACACATACAAAACATGTAGGTAACAGGATAGAGTGGTACAGTGGTAAAAATAGGGGATTCTATTCTTTGCCACTTTTTAGCTGTGTGAATTTAGACAAGTGACCTGAATTCTTGGGTTTCAGTTTCTAAACCTACAAAATGAGAGAACTGGATGATTGACATGTTCCATTTCAGCTCTGACATTTTCTCTCTCTCCGTCTCTCTCTCTCTCATACACATACTCACACAGGAGGGGAGGAGGGCACAGAAGCATATGAAAGGGAAAAGAGAGATAGAACTATATAGAGAAAGGAGGAAGACACATATAGGAAAAAGGGATAGGGGCTAGAGAGAGAAACTCAGGGAAGAAAAACACCATCACACAACCAACTTGGGTGAAAAGGGAGATGACAACACACAATCAAAGACAAACACATACTCTCATAGCTGGAGAGAGACAAAAAGAAAGCAGAGGTAAAAATTCAGTTCCACAGGTTTTAAGTTGAGCATTAGTAAACTGCCTTTCATACTATTCACATAGGCTATGCGATGAAAGAAAATTAAAACAGGTTTTTGCAAACTGAAGATTACCTAAATGACCACTAAGAACTCTTCATATACTCTAGTGCAGTGGCTTCAGGGTTGTGCATTAGAATCATTTGGGAGAAGTTTTTCAAATGACCCATGTCTAGATTGAACAGATATGATCTTAAAAAAATTTTTTTTTTAATTTAAAGATTTTTAGGAAGGGAGAAAGGGAGAGGAAAAGGGAAAGGAAGAGCAAAGGGGGGTGAGGGAGAGAGAGGGATAGAGGTAAGGGCTGAGATAAGGGAGAGGAAAAGAAGGAGAGGCCATCTAATCCTCTTGCCTCCATGGCTCGTACCTCCATCCCCCGTGCCTCCATGCCTCGGGCATTTGTTGTTCCACTTCTTATACATTCATTGGTTGATTCTTGTATGTGCCCTGACTGGAGAGTAAACCCTCGACTTTGGTGTATTGGGACAATGTTCTAATCAACTGAGCTACCTGGCCTGGTCCCAGATATACTCTTTTATCTCTGCTCTGAATGGAAAAGCTCCTGAAATTGTGAGACAAGGTTGCTCTTTCGGACTATAATCCTGTTAATCAGAAATCACTATCCTAAGGGACAGAGAAACTACAGGAAGGGAGATTCTAATCTTCCTTTTCTAATAGGCTGAGAAATAGCCCTAATCAAATAAAGCAGTAATAATCAGGCTCAATAATCAGTTCCAGAATAGATCAAGATTTCACACAGAAGCCAGAAGTAAATGTGTCATACATACCTGCCTGGATCCCTGAGGACCAACTGCCCCAATGTTCATTGGATTTGGACCCTGGATTCCACCAGGCATAGGGCCTCTAGGGCCAGGCACTGGGCCTCTTGGATCCATGTTTCTGGCCTCCATCACTCTGACTTCCATCGCACGGGCCTCCATTGCACGGGCCTCCATCGCACGTGCTTCCATTGCACGGGCCTCCAATCCTCTGGCATCTAATCCTCTTGCCTCCATGGCTCGTGCCTCCATCCCCCGTGCATCCATGCCTCGGGGATCTCTTCCACCTATAAAGTAAGGTGCAAGGAAACCACTGTGTAGCTATTCACCTTTATTGCAAGAAGAATCAACCACCTAAGAAAGACAGAAATCAATTCCTCTAGCCACATTCCCCCCTCAGCTAGAGGAGACTGCTTTCTCCTCCCCAATTTCTCAGATTTGCAGATAAAACTTAAAAATGTCTGCCAACCTTATCATCCCAGCATACTTTATCCAAGATTAGAGCCTTAGACAGCTGGGTTTATCATCAACCCAAAACTACCAGTCAGTGTGGTGGTGTGGTCTGCCCTTACCTCTGCCATCCAAGGGTGGACCCCTCTGATCTAGCATGGGTCCTCTGGGCTCTGCCATTAGAGGTCTGGGCTCGGCTAATGGCCCTCCCCTCATGTCATGTGGGGGCGGGCCACGGCTGTCATGGCCAGGGACATGGTGCATGGGTGGACCCTGATGAGGTGGTCCCAGGTAACTTCTACAGATGGAAAAAATTATTATATTTTAAAACAGAACCCAAAAATAAAAGTATCAACCAGAAGATCAGTAAATAAAAATCAGACAAAGAACTGATATAAACACAAGTCTATGAATGATAAAAGAATAACACCGAACAGCTTGAAGAGAAGTTAGAGATATAAATCAACATATTCTAGAATTTCATATTTGGTCAGGGTACTCGACACTAAGGAGGACTTCAAATGGATATCCATTATACACAATGAGTATGAAGTATAGCACTAAAGAACACTGTTATCATATGGGTTCAAATCTAGGCTCTATCACTTATTAGCTGTGTGATCTTGGGCCCATTTACTTAACTTCTCTATGCCTTGGTTTCTTCATCTGTAAAATGGGACTGATATATCAATCTCACAGGTTTGTGTGGGATTTAATGAGACGATCCAAGTAAAGAACTCAGAGCAGAGTCAGAGGCATAATCCCCATTAATATAAATTATTTTAGTCTAATTATTATTGCCATTATTAATATTACTACTACTAAGAAGCAATATAGGTTTTTTCGGTCTGGGTATGTATGCTAGAATTTCTAATTTTTGAAGATGGGAGTAGCCATAGTTAGTTCAAAATGACATACTCAGGTACACAGCTCTGTCCAAGGAGAAGTGCTTAGTCTTGAATAGCAGCCAACAGGCACAACTGGTATGGAAAGACTTTATTCTCAAAACAAGGGGAAATTCTGATTCCTCTAAGCTTTTCCTTCTGAGTCATTGCTTACCTAGGCTCTACCTCTCCAGTTACAGAAAGTAAAGTGCCCCCACGTGGGTCATTTGGAGCATCTCCTAACAGACCTCGAGGAGTTGGGACGTTGGCAGGCAAGGGCCCACGCTGCATAGCTGCTCTGGGGTCTTGCATCGGCACTGACAGGGAAACAAATGGGGAGTTACTGCTGTGAAGGACACAAGGAAACAAGAAATGACTCTATACACCACTGACAACATAAGTTAGACACCGTCGAGCGGGTGAAACCTCACCACAGCAGAGTCCTCTTGCAGTTCAAGAACAGAAGCAGGGTGTAGGCAGAATCTGTGCCATGTGAGAGGTATGGATGGAATTATATAAAGAGCAAACTGGGGAGCAACCTGCCAAGGATTAGAACTGCAACCTGAAGAAATGTATACTCCCAGTTTTCTTATAATCAACCTTAGTTCAAAAAAGAGGTAAGGTCTCGGAATATGTGAACACTACCATGGCTCTTAAGAACCCGCTGACTCCTTACAGACTGCTAATCCATCCAAGCCTCCTGACACCAGTAGGGAGGAAGGACGGACTCGGACAGATGCCCGTATCGTCCATGTTCTCTGCCCTGTGTGAAGAGGTCAATTTTAAGCTTGTGGCCCGACAGGAAAGAATTTAAAAACAAAAACCCAAAACACTACCGTTTTGGGTCTGATTGTGAAGATGACTGCCAAGCAGGCCTCGTCCTCTCAATGTCCCACCCTGAACACACAAGCAAAAGGAAACCCACAGATATAATGGGTACCTTGAACTCGCTCAATTGATGCAGGCCCGGCGGGTCCCACGGGCGAGTGCTGTAGGGTTCCTAGGTAAGCATTAAGTTAAAAAGGAGAAAGAGCAGACACTTAAAATAGCTTGCACATGCATGCAGAGACATACACATACAGACACTGGAGATTTATATGTGTAAGTTAAAAAGTCAAGAGTTCATTAGTTTGCCTAGGCCAGTGGTTGGCAAACTGCGGCTTATGAGCCACAGGCGGCTCTTTGGCCCCTTGAGTGTGGCTCTTCCACAAAATACCACGTGTGGGTGCGCACATACAGTGCGATTGAAACTTCGTGGCCCATACACAAAGTTGGTTTTTGGCTCTCAAAAGAAATTTCAATCATTGTACTGTTGATATTTGGCTCTGTTGACTAATGAGTTTGCCTAGGCTATAAAATCTTCCTAAACTATGATAGCATCTTTGGTTCTGCTTTGATCAGACTGCTTCCAAAGCCAATACAATGGGACACTGATTTTATTGGGGCAGGAATAACCAGCCACTTTCCATTTTCACCTCTGCTACTATGATTCCCCCTAAATCTCCTTATGATAGCATTAGAAAAGAAAATATAAAAAGGATGGTTCTGAATTTCTATTTAGATAAAGAGCATAAACATATTTTATAAGTAAAAAATAAAATAACTTATACTGAATGTGAAAGGTAAGATTTATTCTGGAGAGGGCCATAACAGAAATACCAAGTGGGGAATACAGTGAATGAACTTTAGAGAAGAGAGTATCATTCCTCAAGAAATATTCTGTCACTGCAAGTCTTTGATTATAAACAAACACCATGACAACAGCAAACAAAGACTAATGAGATGACAAAAGCACTAACACTAAACAAAGGGGGCAGAAGGCAAGAGGATATATCTTCTTAAACATCTCACTGTCTTTCACAATTATAAATGTGCCAAAGAAACAGGAAAAGAAAGACAAACTTGGTATAAATGGGAAGATTCTTGCTTCTTTTGCTGGGTTCTGAAGGAAAACCATGAAAGGCAAGTCATCTCACTTTGTCTCTTTATGAAGACAGCCTTGAGATGACTTCAAACTTGAGCCATTTCCCTTTGTTAACTTTTGATCAGAAAAATGAAGATAACTATAGCAGGAAGGAAGATGTCTTGTGGAAGTATATATTAAAAAGCTATAGCTTGAATTATGGCTTGGGAGAGAGAAAAGTATGACTGAAACCCTAATTCCTTTGAACAACTATAAAAATACTTAAGGCTTATACACAATCTACTGATTAGCTGAGGGGCATGGGGGCACAATTGCCCCAAAGCATGGGATGCTCAGATGAAGTATTTAATCAAGAGCTTGTCCTACTATCAACCATCTGACAAGTTTACTAGTTGTCACTTCAGTAACCAATCCCAGTATATATAGACAAGGAGTAAGTATATAGTCCTATTTCTTAATGTTTTGCTTAAAAATGGGTTTTGCTTATAGGCCATATGCTAAGAAGTAACTTAAGCTTCTTTATACTTATCCAAAGAAATTATTTTGGAAGTTAATAGAGGTGATGTGGATTGACAAAACGATGATTCTAGAATCAGAGACTTCAGAATCTTAGCTCTGTCATTTACTAGCTGGAAGAGAAGATGAGTGCCCCAAGTACAGTCCATGTCACTCAGATATCGGTATTTACTTACCATGTCCCCTTCAGTAAGTAATTCAAAACTCTGAGCTTCCATGTCTTTACCTGAAAACTGAAGTGCTGCTCCATAACTTACAAGGTTGTTTATGAAAATTAAAGTGCCTGACCTATAGTATGCACTCAATTTTATTATTAGCTCCCTCTGTTTTCTCACTATCTCTCCTCCTAATGTTGTTTTTAACTGAACCACTGCATTTTCTTTTTTCTTCAAACTCTAGTAAACATAGAGAATGAATGTGGAGTTTTTGTAGTGCAACTGCTGTGGTATCCAGTGTTACTGCCACCAGGTAGATTCCATAGACCTTTGGTCCCCTCCCAGTATTCTCTGGGGTTTCAATTTAGTTTTCTACATACTCAGCCACACATTATATGCTCATTATTAAAATTCCATACTCAATCAACAGATACCCATAGAGGAAAAGCGAACATGTCAGTAGAATCATTATAGACTATCAAGAAAAGGTAATATGAAATAAATGACAACAAAGAATTCTTTGCTTCATCATCAATTCTTGTAGAGCTGGGTTCTGAATCACTAGATGGAAAGTACAGACCAGAGGTGTCAAATTGAATTTTCTGCAATGATAGAAATTATCTATATCTGTAATACCCAGTAGTATATCCACCAGCCCCATGTGGCCATTTAGCAGTTGTGATATGGAACTGAATTTTAGATTGTACATAATTTCAATTTAATTTAATTTAATTTAAATTACTTTAACACTCAAATATGTTAAAGTATATGTGGGTGATGATTGCCACATTGCCATCTTAGTGCAGATATAGACATTTCCAAGCCCAGTCCACATTAATCAGATATTACTACCTATTTACCTTGTGCTCTTTCCATGGGCACTGGTCCACCTCCTGGCATTCCAATCTGGCCCGGCATCCCTCCTAGAACATGAAGGGCAAGAAGGAAAACACAAGTTAGAATAGTGGGGAAACAATCAGCACGGTGGCTGAGTTAACAAATATCCCTTTTCTGCCTCACAGACAGAAACCTCCAAAGGGAGATAACTACCAACAAACAATGCAGTTATATAGAAGATGGGAATTTGTTAAGCTTCAGTGACAGAAAAGTGAATTAAATCTCCATTAGGAGGCATGCAACAGGCAGCCAATTAATGGTTATCTCTCTCTCCTTCTCCTTTCCTCTCGGAAATCAATAAAAAATATTTTTTAAAGAAGATTTACCCTGCCATGTGTGTGTAACCAAGAGGCAACCAATTGATGTGTCTCTCTCAATCGATCTTTCTCTTTCTCTCTTTCTCCCTCCCTTCCACCAACTCTTTCAAAAAAAAAAAATCAATGAAAAAAAATATCTTCAGGTGAAAATTAACAAATTAAAACCAACAAAAGATTTAAATTTTTTATTTTATTTTATTGATTTTTTAGAGAGGAATAGAGTTAGAAACATTGATGAGAGAGAATCATCGATCAGCTGCCTCTTGCACACCCCCTACTGGGGATGTGCCTGCAACCAAGGTACATGCCTTTGACCGGAATCAAACCTGGTACCGACGCTCTATCCACTGAGCCAAACCGGTTTCGGCAAAACCAACAAAAGATTTACCGTTTTGCAAAACTGTCAAATGTCTCGAACATTCACACAAATGAAAATCTGTTTATGGTTATCAGAATGAAAAACCCAAGTCTGTTTTATTTGTAAACAAAAAGGTCCTTTGCCCTGTTTATACGTTTGTGCTATATCTTCCAGAAATTCACAAATGAAGTTACTGAGTAAATTATGGGCACTGTATTTTGTTTTGTTAAGAACTTTACCAAGAGCCCTGGCCTGGTGGCTCAGTTGGTTGGAGAATAGTCCTATGCACTGAAGGGTCTCAGGTTTGATTCCTGGTCAGGGCACCTACCTGGGTTGCAGGTTCGATCCCTTGATCAGGGTAATATGGGAGGTAACCCAACAATATTTCTCTCTCATATCAATGATTTTTCTCTCACTCCTTAAAGTTAATAAAAACATATTCTCGGGTGAGGATTAAAGACAAACAAACAAACAGAATTTTATCAAGAGTGTCTACATTTCAAAAAATCACATCACTGATGTCAACAGTACTCGTGGTATTTGAATTGTCCGAAAGACATACCTGTATCTGTCTACATTTGGAGCTTTGACACTCATGATATAGGTGCAAGCATTTGACTACTACTACCTCTAGTATAGCTTTGCCTGAATAATTGTATAATAAAAATACTTTGTTATAAATTAATATATTTTAACTTATCCTTTAGGTTAGGACATTATACTGATTTTTAAAAAAAAAATCATGTTAGATAGGTTTTATGATCTTTGCATTTCATTTCAGGATACCAAAGAGTCACTGTAATGCATCCATTAGGAAGAGGGGCCAAAGGATCTAATAGAATTGAAAACCACTGGTCTATTCTATCCAGTATAATTAACAGTATGGTAACTGCTATACAAAAAATAATCATCTACCACAAGTCCTTGTGTGGTCCTTTCCACATAGAAATTCTTCTCTTTTCCTCAAAAGAACAACATATGCTGCAAGTGGAGAAAATAGACAAGCTGAACTATTTTCAGTCATTATTACTTACCTAAAATATCAAGTACACTTCACATTCTCTTATTCCATTTAACATACCAGGCATCAAAGAGCCATGGATAAAAAACCTCAACCGGTGCTAGGCCAAGCACTGCTACTAAGTGATTTTGAACAAGTAATTTGATGAAATTAACATATTCCAGGCTTTCTCATATGTAATGTGAAGGAGTTGGCCTAAACCAGTGTGGTTCTTAGAATATAGTATACAACAAGTAGCATCAGAATCACCAGGGACTTGTCAGAACTGCAAACAGATATTTAGGACCCTACCTCGGACCTGCTGAATTAGAGTCTGGGGGTGGGGACCAGCAATTTGTGTTTTCATACGCTCTTTTGGGATTCTACTTCAAATTAAGTTTGAGAATCACAGGTCAAATTTGTTTCAGAGCTGTCTTACAGCCCTAACATTTTATGATTTATTCAGACCACTCATCAAATTGATACAAAGATAACTATCTGAAGAAAGAATTATGGGTATTATTTCTCATGTTATAAATTATCACATAATAGCATTTTCATTGTATGCACTTGCTTCCCAGAAGTGGAATTGGTGGGTCATAGTGTATATGAATCTTTAATGTAAGACTTTCTTAAAAGGTGGAAAAACTTCACATTTCCAACAGCAATGCAATTAATGATACCACATTCCCCATCAAGAGTGTCATCTCTGCTGAAACTGGTTTGGCTCAGTGGATAGAGCATCAGCCTGCAGACTGAAAAGGTTCCAGGTTTGATTCTGGTCAAGAACATGTGCCTTGGTTGCAAGCACATCCCCAGTAGGGGGTGTGCAAGAGGCAGCTGATCGATGTCTTTTTCTCATAGATGTTTCTAACTCTCTATCCCTCTCTCTTCCTCTCTGTAAAAAAGTCAATTATATATATATATATATGTGTGTGTGTGTGTGTGTGTGTGTGTGTGTGTGTGTATAAAAGAGTGTCATCTCTCTTTGAAACTTTTGCTGGTTGGATGGGTTTAAGTAAAGCAAAATCCTGCTATTTAATTTGCAACCCCCTGACTATAAATGAATTTGTTCTTACTGCCATTTGGATTTGGTCTTCTATGAAGTGCCTAGTCATTTTCTTTGTCTACTTTCCTAGTAGGTTAGTTTCCCTTCTCATGAACTGTCAAAGAACTTTGTAAGGGTACCTCAAAAATCTTAATAGTTTTAAGTTTTAATAACTTCACAAGTATAAATGCTCTATACTCACCAAAAATATCGCTTGAAAATTCATTTACTCTTAACATCAACTTTTATATTTATTAATTCCCTCTTGATATCTTTTTAAAAAAAATATTTTTCTAATTCTTTAAAACTAGAACTTAGAGGTCATTTATTCTTTAATAATATAAGTATTTAAGAATATTCATTTCCTTTAAGTACCACTTTTATTATTTCCCAGTTTTTTTTAATATGAAGTATACTTTTTTTGTCTTTTAGATAATTTATAAATTTCTATTTTTTTCTTTAATTCAATAATTATCTAGAGTATGTTCAGTAAACGTTTTTTCCAGTCACAATTTAATTACTTATTTCTAGTTTTATTGGCTTATAATTAGGAGAATACAGCCTGTAAAAAATCTCTGTATTTTAAAATTTGTTTTTATTTTATGGCTAAGTATATGACCAAGTTTTTTTTTTCCTTTACTGTGTCTTGGTCATTGGGGGATGGGGATTGTGTGCATTCTCCAGTCAAAAGATATAAGGCACCCTCTATATATTTTATCAAGCTTATTGATTCCATTATTTTATTCCTTAATTTAACATCCTTGTTTTTTGTCCACTAACACAATGCTACTCAAAGTGTGGTCCACAGACAATGCCAATCCACATTCTGTGTTAACAGTTCATGACAATGTACAGTAAGTACAGAAATAGAGAGCAGTCACTTAGAAACCTTTATAGCAATTTGACATTGCTGTGACATCTGAGTGCATGGTCATCACACTTGGCTCAGGGTATTTGGATGATTTTCAACTCATGTAATAAGCTGCATATGTCATGGCTTGCATACTTGTCAGGTGTCATAGGACCATATTACAACTATTTTAAGGTAAATTATGCACCTACAATTCATAACTATATAAAATACAGGATCTAGCCAAAACTGGTTTGGCTCAGTGAATAGAGCATTAGCCTGAGGACTGAAGGGTCCCAGGTTCGATTTCGGTCAAGGGCATATAACTTGGTTGCGGGCACATCCCCAGTGGGGGGAGAGCAGGGGGCAGCTGATGGATGTTTCTCTCTCATCGATGTTTCTAACTCTCTCCCTTCCTCTGTAAAAAATCAATAAAATATATTTTTAAAAATATAGGATCTATTTTTTTTCACTGAAAGATAAATTTAACTATAACATTACAGGAGGTGTGCAAATGATAAATGAAAATTGTGGGTTGTTGAAATTTCTTTAAAAATCCCTTCTATTCTTTGTCCACTTGTCTCTGTACAAAAGAACAATTTTGATTCAAATTATCCTCTAGGATAACCCAGATTAGATAAATAAGATTGCTTTAAAAAAATTTTTCAATATATTAATATACGTTATGTGTTTATACAGGTTTTTCATATGGGAAATCTCTATTTCTTGCATGCCTTTAGTTACAATTACTGAATGATGAAAAGCTACAAGTGTAACAGCAATACTCTATTATTTTCTATATATGTATACACTTTTAATGAACAAATGAAGTTTTTAAAATTATTTTTTCTTTTTGTTCTTTGGTCTGATTATATTTATTAATTTTTGAAATAGAGGAAGAGAGAGATAGACTGAGAAACATCAATTTGCTGCTCCATTTACCTATGGATTCATTATTTAATTCTGATATGTGCCCTGACAGAGATGGAATGCACAACCTGTATCAAGAGGATGCTCTAACCAATTAAGCTACCTGGCGATGGCCTGGTCTGATTTTATTTATTTATTTATTTATTTATTTATTTTAAAAATATATTTTATTGATTTTTTACAGAGAGGAAGCGAGAGGGATAGAGAGTTAGAAACATCAATGAGAGAAAAACATCGATCAGCTGCCTCTTGCACACCCCCTACTAGGGATATGCCCGCAACCAAGGTACATGCCCTTGACGGGAATCGAACCTGGGACCTTTCAGTCCGCAGGCTGATGCTCTATCCACTGAGCCAAACAGAGTTGGCTGATTATATTTAATGAAATGGAATTTTATGTCTGTTAAATAAGAATATGTTCATATATTCTGTGTCTGTTTTTCCCTCATATGTTTTTCCCCTAATCTAATAGTCTCTGATTTCTAATGGAAGAATTCAATCTATTCACATTTACTAGAATAATGACTATACAAGATTTTATTCCTTCCCCCTTACTCTACTTTTATTATTACTTACTTCACAATATCATTTTATTTTTCTCTATATTTGTTGGCTTGCTGTAGTTTCCATTCATTCCAATTTTCCTTTCATTAATTTGGAAGTTTTACTGTACCTTTCCACTTTACTGCCCTTTTTCCTGATCTCATAATCAAACATATAGGATTTGTATATAAGGAATCGATTATTTCTTCCACCTTGGATACATATTTCCTAGTCGTATATTAATTTTATATCAAGATCTATCCCAATCGTAATAAAAAAAACTTTAGCGAAATACCAAAATGGTGAAGACTCTAAATGCAACATACCACCCGGAGCTAAGGGACCAGGGCCAGGTCCTGGTACAGCAGTTGGCATCTGTCCTGGTGCTGGAACTCCAGCCTGCATAGAAGCTTGCATCAAAGGAGGTGCCCCGTTAACATGCATGCCACCCTGACCAGGAGAAAAATCAGAGTATGTAGACATCTCAGTGGAGACTCAACACACAAAGTCTATAACCTTAAAGAACTCTTCAAGCTGACAACCCAAATATTCTACCAAATATCCTTTTTGTATAGCATGTATCATGCAAACTATGAACAGAAGATGCAATACCCATGAAAAGCCTGGTTATAACACAGTTAGGATGGACCATATTCTAAAAGCTAAGATGGACAAGTCTTATTTGTGTGATAAGGCTACATATAGCACCTACTGACTTCATGACTGGGGCATAGCAATAAGACTAAAAACAAATGCCAAGGAGAAAAAGAGGAGACTAGGATATTTTTGTAAAGAAATTGCTGGCAGTCTGCATTTTTAAGATGAAAATTTAAAAATCTGACCAATTTTTCTCATCCCTATCCTGAGATATAATTCTGGTTTGGGGGGAATGTTAATTTTTTTAATGCTACATTAAAGCTTCTGGAGGGAAAGGGATTGTTTTCATCTATATATTCCCCAGAGAAAGCAGTCCTTTGGAATAGAAAGAGCTTAATAAAGAGTAAAAACTAAGTTATATTTTTAAAAATCACATATACTGCCAGAGAACACAAACAAAATTCTCAAACAGAATATTATATTAAAACAGGTTATGAGGTCAAACAAAACCAGGTTTAGATCCTGGATATGCCACTTACAATTATGCTACTTGTGGACCAGTTAATCTCTCTGGGTCTTAAATAATTTCATTGTATTTCTGAAAAAAAAATGTTTAATTAAAGCAGGGGTTAGCAAACTATGGCCCATGAGCCAAATCTGGCTTACTGGCTCATTTTAATAATAAAGTTTTATTGGAACACAACCAAATACATTTGTTTACATATTCCCTATGGCTGATTACACACTCCAATGGCAGAGCTGAGTAGTTAGAAAAGATTCCATAGGCTACAAAACCAAAAATATTTACTATTAGGCCATTTACAGATGTTTGCCAACTCCCGCCTTAACCCTTTGTATGATCTACCTAAGTGGTTTGCCTCTGCCAATCTGATAGGTAAAAAGTGTTAGATTTTTGTACTTTCTGTTTACATTTATCTATTTTTTAGGTTGAACACTTTTACATCCTATTTAATAGAGGGAACATGCTAATTGATTATCACTCCGTCACAAAGATGGCTGCACACACAGCTGAGGCCAAGTTCCCATAAGGCACCTTAACAAGCAATCAGCAGGGACCTGAGGCTACACCCTCTGCCACCCCCCACCCAGCAGGCTTGAAAGGGGACTTCAGGCTGAGCCCCCCACCTGGCAGGACTTGACAGGAGACCACAGGCCAGGCCCCCCTGACCTGGCAGGGCTTGACAGGGGACCTCAGGCCATGGCCCCTGCCCTGATGTCAGGCTGGGGGACTCCAGGCTGCACCCCCTACCCCAGTGCCAGGCCAGGGGATGTGAGGCCACACCCGTGGATCCTCAATGTGTGCTTCCTGTTCTGGTGCTAGGCTAGGGGACCTCAGGCTTCTCCCGCTGCCCCAGCGCCATGCTGTGCTCCCCACCAGGTGGGGCTTGACAGGGGACTTCAGGCCGTGCTCTTCACCTAGCAGAGCTTGACAGGGAACCTCAAGGTGCACCCTCAGTGCTGGGTCGGGGGAACTCAGGCGGCACTCCTGCTTGGTGGGGATTGACAGGGGACCTGAAGCTATGCCCGCCCCTGCCTGGTGGGGCTTGATGGGGACCTCAAGGCATGCCCTCCGTCCTGGCTCTGAGCCAGGGGACCTGAGGCTACACCCCCTGCCTGTTGGGACTTGACAAGGGTGGGACTGGCCAGGTCTAAATATAGCCCAATTGGGGGGGAGAGAGGCTGGCGGCTGGGTCTGGGTCTCATATTATTTTGAGGTGCATGTGGGCGGGTGGGGACTTGACTGTGGGTCCTGTGGAGTGCCCCAGACTCTGATAAGAGGATGTTTTTCATATACATTTTACTAATTTTCTTTCATCTCTGATACTTCTATTATAAAGAAAGGGAAAATAGCAATATTATTTCCTCTAATTAATCCCTTTAATGTGCATGAATTCATGTATGGGGCCACTAGTATCATAATAAAAGGCTAATATGCAAATGGTCATCACTCTGTGACACCATAACATCCGATCAGATGGAACTTGAAGTTGTTTGGTGCTGGGCGGGGACCAGAGGCTGCACCTCCCACCTCGGCGCCAAGCCAGGGGACTTGAGTCCATGCCCTCCCTCTGTCCCAGGACTTGAGTCTGTGTCTTCCACCCAGAGGGACTTGACAGGGGTGAGCCAGCCGGGTCTTGGTGTCGCCTAATGGGGGTGGGGCAGGCTGGACACTTTTATTACAGAGAAAGGGCAAATAGCAATATTAAAATATTTCCTCTAATTAATTCCCTTTTAATGTGCACAAATTTCGTGTACTAGGCCACTAGTATTTAATACATATTTGTTTTTCTACTTTTGTGAACTGTTTATGTCCATTTCAAACTTTTCTACTGAGTTATTGGTAATCTTGTTACTAATTTTAGTTTTTTTTTTGCATATCATGAAAAATTCCAGATATATAAATTATATGGAAAACAAAATTAATTACACAGCTTAGGAAATAAATTATATGCCCAACTGAAATCGTCCATATGGTCTTCCTTAACTGCACCATGTATCCCTTTCTTAAACAGCCACTTAAGAATTCTTATTGGTGTTCTGAAATTTTATGTAAATCATTATATACTGAACAGTCTTTATAACTCACTCAACATGTATTTGGGATATATGTAAAGACATATATCCCATATTTTGGGAATGCTTCCACATTCACTTATTTCCACTTCTGTATGGTATTATGTTATCTGTGTTGATACCATGTATACTAGTTCATCTTAACTGCTATATAGAATTACTAGAGACCTGGTGCACGAAATTTGTGCATGGGGCTAATGGAGGGGGTGGTTGTCCCTCAGCTCAGCCTGTACCCTCTCCAATCTGGGACCCCTCTAACAATCCAGGACTGCTGGCTCCCAACTGCTCGCCTGTCTGCCTTCCTGATTGCCCCTAACTGCTTCTGCCTGCCAGCCTGATCACCCCCAAACCACTCCCATGCCAGTCTGATTGATGTCTAACTGCTCCCCTGCCAGCCCGTTTGCCCCCAACTTCCTTCCTCTGCCAGCCTGGTCACCCCTAACTGCCCTCCCCTACTTGCCTGATCACCCACAACTGCCCTCCCTTGCAGGCCTGGTCCCTCCCAACTGCCCTCCCCTGCTGGCCATCTTATGTCCACATAAGGGCAGGATCTTTGACCACATGGGGGCAGCCATATTGTGTGTTGGAGTGATGGTCAATCTGCATATTACTCTTTTATTAGATAGGATAGAGGCCTGGTTCACTGGTGGGGGCCAGCTGGTTTGCCCTGAAGGGTGTCCCGGATCAGAGTAGGGGTTCCCTTGGGACATGGGGCGGCCTAAGTGAGGGGCCTGTGGTGGTTTGCAGGCCGGCCACGCCCCCCAGCAACCCAAGCAGAGGCCCTGATATATGGGATATATTTACTTTCTACAATTGAAACTTTGTACCTGGAGCGGAGCCAAACCTCCTGCTCACTCCGTGGTGGCAGCCATTTCTGTTTGGACTTGTTTATCTTCTATAATTGAAACTTTGTAGCCTTGAGTGAAGGCTTAAGCCTCCTAGGGCAGGCAGAAAGCTTGGCTTGTTCCACTGCCAGAGAAACCCAAGCCTCTCTCCTGCTGTGGCCACAGCAATCTTGGTTGGGGTTAATTTGCATATTTGCTCTGATTGGCTTGTGGGCGTGGCTTGTGGAGACAAGTGATGGTTATTGCATATTACTTTTTTATTAGATAGGATGTTTTTGAAAGTCATTCATTGTGACAAATGTAATTTATTTAACTGTTGTAGAGTATACCATATTTTCTTCATTCTTTTGCTGATGTACATTTAGGATGTTTCTAATTATTCACTATTATAGTGTGGCAATAAACATGATTAAAGATGATTAAGGACTCTTAATAATAACCGTTGTCCGCATGTGTGGCAAATACTTTTCCCAATTTGTCATCTGTCTTTGATGTTTATTTTTCTTCATAAAGAAATTTTTAGTTTTCAAATGTACTGATTTTCTATGGCTTCAGGGTTTTGTGTAATACTGAGAAAGCTAAGTTTTTATTTTTTTTATTGGTAAGAATGGAGATAATAAAGAGTGCCACTTTATATAATCACTGTATTAAATTATACAGTGTATATAAAATAACAAAGTGCCAACCACAGTGCTACACATGCATAGACACACAAAATTAGCTTATAAAAAGGACTTCTTTGTTTACAAACTTGGCATAAAACCTATATTCATTCAGATGCCGCATAGTCTGCAACCTGGAAACTGCCTTTATGCCTGGAAATTGAAATTACCATCTCTGGTTCTTGTCCATTCTTCTTTCAATATATTCTCCTAAAAAGAAAATGACATTCTAAGACAGATAAAAGAAATGTTAAAGAGTAAAGCCTTACCATAGGCTGGGCCCCAGGGGCCTGAGGATTCTGCTGATTCATTGGCACACCGGCTCCTGAGGGAGGTCCAGCACTGTGGACTGGCTGAGGATTGCCTGACATCAGTGTTGGGATATTTGTCTGGCGATGCAGAATTTTCTAAAAAGCAAAAAGACAAATCTATGAGCTGTCTGTTTAACAAAACAATCAAGTAGTTCTTCTCCCTACTCAAGGTATATCTCAGTATTTCCATAAAAGAACCAGCAACACTCACCAGGGCGATCTCTGGATCCACAATTCTCATCACTACCTGTGCTTGTAGCAAAGCATAAGCCAGTTGAGGGTTTTGGAGCAACATGTTCCGTGCTTCCTGGGGACTATTCTGGACACAAAGCTGAAAAGATACACAGAATCATCATCAGGTTCAATAGTTATTGCTTAGTAATCAATAGTGATTTAGAACTATTCACATCAGAGAAATGCAATGGTTTTTGCATAGCACACAAAATTCTGTCACAGCAGGCAAGAGAAGGAAGAGGTATTTCAAATACCATAATATAATCATTTAGGAAAAAATTCACATTTTAATATCTACATCTGTTATCTATGGGCCACAAAAACACAGTCAGATTATGTTCGTGTATTTTGTGTACAAAAATGGAAAGCTCTTTGCACAAGATGTAAAATTATACTGTGCACACATAGAATAATAAAGGTGCAAGTAATGGTGGTCAACAGTCACACCTTCTACTTGAGCTCAGGGAATCATTTCTATCTACTTCATCAATAACTCTTGAAAATTTGATGTGATTGGATTTATTCATAATTTAATGCCTCTTCCCACCTTCATCTGTTTCATCAACTCAAACATCTGCTCTGGTGGAAGACTGGCAACTGCTTTGCTAATGGACTCAGGAGCATCCTCAGGACTGATGGTCTCTCCATAAGGTGACTCAATGACAGGGGCACCAGTGCCAAGGCCTGATCGGGAAGAAAGTACAAAAAGAGTTAAAGTGGCAAAATAAAGAGCTAAATCATTTCAAATATCTACTTTCCAGGTCTTACAAGGATCCAATGATAACTTTAAATTCTCTGAAGCTGAGAAATAAGTGATTTATTAGTTTCTTATTTCTGTGAAAGAAAATGACAGTGTATTTTCTGCTCTTAGAGCAAAGCTGGGACTAGGGTCATATAGGTGGACAATGTTAACCTAAATTAGGGATTAAGCATATCAATTCCCTTTAACAAGTAATTTCCGAAGCAAAAGGTTTAAACAAAAAAAGATGCTAATTTCAAAATGGAATTTCTGGATCTACCACCTCATAAAAAAGCCTTAAGAATGCCTTAGTGTTTCCACCAGCTACAGATCTGGCAACATAGTTACTGGTGTGGCAAACACCAAGGACATATTTAGTACTACTAATCACTTGGTGAGCCTGAATTCATCTTCAAATGAAATTAACTCCTTAACAACTGAAGGACTTCCAAAGTGAACATTACCTTATTTCTCAAAGATATACACTTCCCCAGCGCAGGTACCTCAGGTGGGTCAAGTAAAGAAGCTGTGTGGATAACCATTTCAGCAGATGCTAAAACATACCATAAATGGAAAATCTTCATTGTTACATCTCTACTAACTTGGGTTTATACTCACTCTTCAGTTCTTCTTTGTTCTTTTCACTGGCAGCATTATCCACTCGAAGTGCTCTTCCACTGAATTCTCGCCCATTCAAGTTTCTCATGGCACTAAGTGCTGTCTCTTGGTCTTGGTATTCACAAAAGCCATAACCCTTTGGCTTTCCTGTCTCCCTATCATATACCAACCTGAAGAGCAGAACCAAGTATCAGGCATAAATGTCACATACACACAGGGATCCTGCAAGCATTGCCATGTTCAAATTTGGTGAACTGGAAGGCAAATAACTTTATCAGCCTGACTGCCTCACTGAAATATGTTTTAAACAATGAAAAATTTTATTTTAAAGTTATAATTGACATTCAGAAAAATTTTAAAGAATGAATCCCTCTCTCATCTCAGTTGACAAGATAGGACAGGTCAAAAGGATCAATAGTGAGGGGGCTTGCTCAATTTGGTGTGGTAGAAAAAGTCCATACCCAGCAGTGTTGTCAGTAGAAGTGACAATCACAGGGGTGGTTGGGTAGGGAATGCTCATAACTCCACTAGCTTGAGGTTGTAGTCATTGTTAGAGAAGGCACATTTTTTGCTTGACTGTGTGTATGTGCAGCAGATTCTGGAGAAAACTCAAACCAGTTACACATACCTGGCTGATGCTAAAGCTGAACATATGTGCATAGGAAACACAGAAGGGGCTGAGGAGAGAGATAAACCCTGGGCATATTTGAAAATGGCATTAACTTTGAATGCTGCCTGCATTCCCAAAAATGTTATCTTTTAATAAAAATGAATATGAATTGTATTGTCTATGAATTACATCTCAATTAAGCTGTTACAAACAAAAAGAATGCCTGTTCAAAATCATCAGTAAATCTTGCCATTATTTCTAAGGGATAAATTTGCGGTAATTTTTAAGAAACTCCTACCAAATAGCAAAGAGAATCATACCTGAAACTAACAACAGGTCCAACCTCAGAAAAGATGTCCTTTAATTGCTCCTCAGTAGCTTCATATGGAATGTTCCCCACTAAGGAACAAAATAGATAAAATTATGAGTTTGTAACAGATATTTAGTAAGAAAATAAACAGTATTTTCTTATATCATGGAAAATGTAACAACTGGCTCAAAATACAGTGCTCCTCCAATCCCAGTTCCCTGATACTCCCTTAGACAGGACTACAATTTTTGCTGACTTTAATTGCAAGGGAAATAAACCACTGAGAGTAAATACAAAAGGTGCAGACACGTCTAAATGTCAGTTCACAGACTGATTAGACAAGAGTTAGATTTTCCTTAACTTTTGTGAAAATATTTAGGCACCTGAAGGTCTGCAAGTCTTATCAATGACTACTAAAAGAATCTATACTGTCATTTTTAAAACCGACTCATATGTCCATATTTACACACACACCACAAAGGAGAATGACCATGGACGCAGTGGAAGATGTTTAAAATTATTCTGTACTGTTTTGCCATGGCCCTTCCAAACAGTGCTTTAAAATCACCACACATACTTAAAAACAACTATTTCGGCAGATTACTTAGAATAGACTGGATCCTCCTTAAGATTTCTTTGAGGGGGTCTTACTCGTTCTTATATTCATTTTTTACTATCCACCTTAAGACGCCAGGTGGCCCCTACCACTATCGACGAACTAAACATGTAAGGGGCTTTAAGCACAGAATGAAAGTCCTTATAAGAGGGTGGGAAGTAGACTCAAGTATCTATAACATCAGCACAATATGTTCTAAAATAGGAGATTAAAAGTAATATGGGACCGTTGCTAAGCGCCCTCGCTTCTAGAAAATAACTGAAGCTAGAAAATTAATGAAAGGAGAAACGCACAGAAGCTGAACGCTAGTTTAACTTCCTTAACCACATCGTGGAAAGGCTGCTAAACCTCGGGAGAAGGGGAACATCATTTTACTCACGAGTCCCTCGGGTTGGCCGCCCCACCAGAAAGGCAGGGAGAGCGGTACCCCTGACCTATCCCAGGCTCCCAAAGCGATTCAAGAGGTGCAGGGGGCGTTCCTCGCTGCTCCCGGCCTCTTTCTGTCCCTCCCCGGTGCTTGGCAACACCTCATTCCTCTTACCGAACACTGAACGCAGAGAACGATCTACCGCAGGGTCTCTCACATTCATACCCGCCATCGCTCTCTCCCGCGACTTCCGGTGGCCGGGGCACACTTCCTACTGAGCGCGAGCCTAACGACCCACACACTTCCGTCCAGCGCGCGTGAACCGGAAACGCCTGAGCCTGACGGACGCAGGGCGCCTCCCCTGGCGTCATTGCGTCACGGGAGGCGTGCCTTACGTCTTCCTTAGTGTAACCTCTCGATCTGGGCTGCAGACCGAGGCTAATTCCCTTCTGAGCCTATTCAGGCATTTCTGGGAGAATGGAATCTTTAATTATTCATTTTTTTCGTAGGTTAATACAAGTAATTGTTGACCACAATAACAATTGCAGCAGCGACGTTACCAAGGTAACAGGGAAGTCATTTCCTAACAAGGGAGGCACTTAGGTTTTAATTAAGCCCTCTCAGGGGAGGGAAGTGATTGGTTCCGCCCCAGGGCGTGCAAATGATTGGTAAATACTGTGAGTGTACACGCCGAAACCGGTTTGGCTCTGGTGGAGCGTTGGTCTGCGGACTGAAAGGTCCCAAGTTCGATTCCGGTCAGGGGCATGTACATTGGTTGCGGGCACATCCCCGGTGGGGGGCGTGCAGGAGGCAGCTGGTCGATGTTTCTCTCTCATCGACGTTTCTAGCTCTCTATCCCTCTCCTCTCTGTAAAAAATCAATAAAAATATATATTAAAAAAAAAAAAAAACAACTGTGAGTGTACAGAGGAAGAGAATGGAGGCAGCCTAGAAGAATGAGAGAACGAGGGTCATTCAACGTCAGAGCCTTAACACATAGCAGGGAAAGTAAAGGGAGAACAGACCCCTGTTTATTCTTGTCTAGCCCTTGGGCTCCGTGTGCTGTATGGTGGTGATGGGGAGGAGTGGCTGAAAGCATTAGAACAGGAAACATTAACTAGTGGTACACAACAAGCAGCTAAGGCATATTTGCACTAATGTTGCTTTGATTCCAGAGACTGAATGCTTACTGCCTCCCACTATTACTGAGAAAATGTGGATGGTGGCTTTTTTTTGTTTTGTTTTGTTTTTTTAATATATTTTTATTGATTTTTAGAAGAGAGAGAGATAGAGAGTTAGAAACATCGGATCAGCTGCCTCTTGCACACCCCCTACTGGGATGTGCCCGCAACCAAGGTACATGCCCTTGACCTGAATCGAACCCTGCTCTATCCACTGAGCCAAACTGGTCTCAGCAAAATGTGGATGGTTTAACATATTACCATTTTGAGGGAAAAGAACTTGAGTATATGACCTCATGATGGTGGATCAATGACTCACAATAATGAACCACCCAGGATTTAGGTTGATGCACTTAGCCAGGGATTGTTCCATTGCAGGTACTCTGTGGCGAATGGACTGTTGGTTCTATCACTTCATCAACCATCCCTACTCTACTGTTATAAAAGAGGAGGTGGGTGCAAGGCATATTTTCTAAACGTTTGCCTTTTTATAGAGTTTCACTTATAGGCCATGTGGTAATGACCTCAGTGTCTGCTGTCCAAGAGGGTCTTTTTCCATTTACTGGAACACTTCCAGAGTGACACATTTCTTTTGCCTCCAGGTTATAGCAAAATGAAGACAAGATGGGATGACACTGTTGTAGGTGTTATGACTGAGCCTCAGTTAACACAATGATGTAGGTGCACAATGAAGAAGTAGGGGAAAAACTAGGAAAGGTGCATTTCTACACAAATGGGACTCAATATATGTGATAGGTGTTACTTTGGACCTTTAAGCAGAAGAGAAAGGGTGCTTAGTGGAGAATCAAAGAATTTGGGAAACCACAGTCAAGATTTGTGGATCATTGGCAAGAGTTCTGTGGATAAGTTCTGAGTTTGTGTCCAATTGTGTTGATGATGCTAAGAATCTTAGCTAACATAAAATCTAAGGAAGCAAAGACATTCAAGAGTGTGAGGGCATAGAGACTTAGGTTCTTTCTCCTAGCCAAAAGCTCAGACTTCTAATATTGGGGTCAGTACTACTTTATTCTTGATCCACATTTAAAGCTCCTCAAAGAATCAATGGGATGAAATCCCTCATTGATCCTCCAGGGAGTACCTGGAAAGGCAGCAACTCCTGAACAGATATTGCATGAAAAAGATCCCAGAAGGCACTGTAACATTACCAATGTTAGGAGAAATACTCAGTGATTGGCGCCTAAGGAAACTTGGGGCTCCCAGAGAACAACTGAATTCTTACAGAGATCCTGGTCAGTATCTGGATGAAACAATTGGTTTGCTTTCCAAAAAGAAACAACATTCCTAAGTTTTATACTACTGTGTTATGCCACTAGTACTATAGCAATATCTGTACTTTCTGGTAATATTTAAGGGTTCAGGTCTGAAGCTACTCTACAGAGAGTTGTCCAATCCATCAAAACTGGTCATTCTGGTTTTCAATTTTAGCATTTCACTTTTTATTTCTTACCTAACTACTTTTCTTCTCAATTCATACACAGTGAATAAATTTCCTGTATTCCTTTCCCAGAAGGTTCAAGATTCTTCACCAGCTCAAAGGTTGCCTTATGAGATATGTTGCTTGGGAGCAGGGCAAGGACTTAGGTGGTCGACTTAATTAGAGGAAGATTTCCCTTAATCTTTGGTAATGGCATGGTGACCTCTTGTTGCTGATGAGGACTGCTTCTAAGCCAAGCATTGGGGAAAATTGAGTAAGGAAAGGAAGTCTGATTCTTTTTCTTAGAACCCACCAGGCTTGCCTGTCTAAAACTTTTGTCTGTTTGGGTGCATGTTCTGTTTCAGAACCAGAACTCTGGGAGGCTATTGCTTTGGCATGTGCAATCTAGGGTTTAGCAAAATAAAGGCGGATATCACTGGACAGCAGTTAAACTCCAAAAGTGTGCTACTGGGCTGGGTAGAGAATGAGAATAATGGTATCAGGTTGGGGTAAACAGGGTGACAATGATTAAAAAGCTAATATTTGTGAAGGGCCAAATAGATTACAAAGCTTTTCTATATAGATCTTACTTGACTCTCACAATTCCTGGGAAATAGCTTTAGTATGGTACTTTTTTTATTCTAGTAAAATATCCATAAAATAAAATGGACAATTTTAACACTTTTAAGTGTATAATATAGCAATTAGTTATATTCACATTGTGCAACCATCATCACTATCTCCAGAATTTTTTATTTTTCAAACTAAAATTCATACATATTGAATACTAATTTCCCATTTTCCCTTAAACCTATCCACTGGCATTTACCATTCTATTTTTTGACTGTTATGAACTTGACTACTATAGATACCTCATATAAGTGGAATCATAACACTATTTTTCCTCTTGTGACTGGTTTATTTCACTTTAGCATAATGTCTTCAAGGTTCATCCATGTTGTAACATGTGTCAGAATTGTCTTCCTTTTTTTTTTTTTTAAAGAAAGTCTTTTTTAAAAAAAAATAAAGTCTTTTTAAAAAATATATATATTTTATTGATTTTGTATAGAGAGGAAGGGAGATAGATAGTTAGAAACATTGATGAGAGAGAGTCATCGATCAGCTGCCTCCTGCACACCCCCTACTGGGGATATGCCTGCAACCAAGGTACATGCCCTTGACCGGAATTGAACCCGGACCCCTCAGTCCCAAAGCCGACGCTCTATCCATTGAGCCAAACCGGTCTTGGTTGAATTGTCTTCCTTTTTAAGACTGAATAATATATATACCATTGTAGGTATATACCACATTTTGTTTATTCACCCATTGAGGGACACTTGGGTTGCTTCTATCTTTCGGCTATTTTGAATAATGCTGCTATGAACATGGCTGTAAAAATATTGATTTGAGTCCCTGCTTTCAGTTCTTTAAGGTACATACCAAGAAGTGGAATTTCTATATCACATGGCAATCCTATATTTAACTTTTTAAGGAAACCTCAATACCATTTATGATAGCTGTGGCACCATTTTTCATTCCTATCAGTGATGCCAAGAGTTCTCACTCATTTAATCCTCACCACCTTTTGTTATTTTCTCTGTGTGTGTGTTTTTAATAATAGCCACCCTAAATGGGTATGAAGTGGTATTATATTTGGCTTTGATTTGAATTTCCCTACTATATTGGAAAAAAAACTACCATTCTCCTCTTCTGTGTCTCCTTTACTTTCATGCAGAACACTTCACTTCTGACAATTCTCGTGACCAAATGTGGGTTGTTTTTCCCCACAACAAGCATTTCTCTACAACACCAAATGGCTGTCCTATAATTTAACTCAATTCTGGTACTATCGAGAGTCAGATCCCGCAGGTTAAGGGCTCAGTCCTACAAGACTGCCCCCATTCCTCTTCAGATGCCAGTCCCAAATCCAGGTTGCCACGTGTGCTTCTGACCAATTGACTATAAATCAGTTTCCAATGACTCTCTCCTCGGGTTCAATTAATCTGCTAGAGTGGCTCACAGAATTCAGGAAAACAGTTACATACATTTACCAATTTATTAAAGTACTAGTGGACCAGTGCACAAAATTCATGCACATTAAAAGAGAATTAATTAGAGAAAATACTTTAATATTGCTATTTGCCCTTTATAATAGAAGTGTCAGAGATGAAAGAAAATCAGTAAAATGTATATGAAAATCTTTCTCCTGTCAGTGTCTAAGGCACGCTGTGGGACCCAGAGTCAAGTCCCCACCCACCCATGTGCACCTCAAAATTGCACAAGTTCCAGACCCGGCCAGCACCACCCCATCAAGCCCAGCCTGGCTGGGGGGCGCAGCCTCAAGTCTCCTGGCCTAGCACTAGGCGGGGGGCACAGCCTCAGGTCTTCCATCTGTGAATGTTCAGAGCCTTGCCAGGTGGGGGGGTGCAACCTCAGGGCCCCTGTCAAGCTCTGCTGGGTGGGGGGCATGGCCCAAGTTCCCACAGCCCGGTACCATGCAGCCTCAGGTCCCTTCCTGATTGCCCCTAACCACTTCTGCCTGCTTGTTATGGCTTGTTATGGAAACCCCCGCCTCCACTGTGGTGTGGGTGCAGCCATCTTTTGTTATGGGAACCCA